TTTCATACATCATTCCTTCATGTCTCAAACATTTTTGTAGAAAATAATAATAATAATAATAATAATAATTGAGTTGATGTGATTAAAAAGATTATGATAATAATTTTTCCCTTAAAAAGAAATTACAAATTTTTTTTTTGGTTTGGTAGTCATAGAAGAAGTCAAAATTTTAAAAAAAAATTATTTTTATTTATTATTTAAAAAATTAAGATCCAATTAACCAATGATTATAGGCACTTATTAAGGCTAGTTCATTTAATACATTAATCTCATCAGATTTGAAAAAGATAATATACTAATGGGTTTTGCTAATAAGTGGCGTAAAACCATCTTTAAGATTAATTAGGATACAATTTCTAATAATATTTTTGAGTTAAATGTAATAGTTGATAGTTAATATGAAAATTTCAATGCATTGGGAAAAGATATTTACTTTAACATAATAATTTCAAAAAATGTATTTATAAAATTTTTTATATAAATATCACTTTAACAAATAGTATTGAAATTTACTAATTTTTCATTAACGTGGAATCTTTATGAAAAATACCATTATCGAAATAGACCAAGTCAAAGTGAGTATTTTTTTTCTATGAGTGAAAAACTCAATACAACAAGAACTTATATTAATTAAAGATGTCAATGACAAATGAAATGGATTTTGATCTTATAAATAAAAATTTTCTTTCACCGAAACATGTCTTTGAGATTGTAGATGCAAGTTCATAACATCTGCACAAACTTATTAATTGAGCTTAAACTCAAATTTTAAGATAAAAAAAACAATTAATTAAGCACATGGGACATACACTATGACTAACGGCTCCTTGTCTAATTTAAGTGAAAATAGGAAAAAATTATTAGTAAATAGTCTCTTGTGAGTCATCGAGATATAAAGAAATACACAAGCCAAACATATGTTTAAGATAAAATTGCCCTAGTTTGGATTTGCTTAAGGATGCAAAATAAGACGCTGCTTTTAGTTTGTTTAAGGATTTCTTACCCAATTTGAACAAGTGGCAGTTTTAAAATCTAAATTTGCCTTCATGAAGAATTAACTGATTGGCTATCATTAATCTAAGAAGGAATCTAGCACTACTTATGAGTTGGGCTTGTTGGATTATAATTTTGGTTTTTGATTTTCCTAATCCCCATTATAACACTTATTAATATTAATCATAAAAATATTATATATATATGTGCAAGGCTTTTATTGGAGTTGAATGGGCCTTTGATTGGATTCCACAACGGTTATAATTTTTGAATAATTTTAAATTCCTCTTTCAATTACTTAGAAAAGAACAAAAGGAATTATTTTTAAATTTTATCAAGGATATTGAAAGATGAACAAGAGTCATATAGATTAATCATTAAATAAATATGGATCGAAACTTTACTATCAATATATAAAATAATAAACCCTTGCTTTAGTCTTTCTTTGACTTGGTGTGTTCGCAAGCCGTTGCAAACTTGCAACACCCAATTAATTGAATTGTTTACTAACATTAAAAAATTCTCCCACGTGGACCTTGAAACTTAAATTTTAATTCTCAATATTCATTTTTCACATGTCCACGCTACTTTTATTTAGGCTTATAGAATTTTTATTATTATTTTTTTATAAATTATAATACCAGCAAAATTTTGAAAAAAGTTATTATATTAAATATTATTGTTGCATGCTAAGTATAGTCTAATGGCAACGGCCAAGCAGGGCTAGAGTTAGGATTAGAATTGGGAGGGGACCAAAATGCATTCTATTAAGGATTTTTTTAAACAATAATTAAGTTAAAAAAAAATTAAGCAGTGAAAATTTATTAGCGTTTAATTAATTTTATATTTTAAATATAAATGATTTAGTTTAAAGTTTGTTGGGATAAATTAAAGTTCTTGTATTATTGTATTTCAAGCTATTCAAAATCATATGCCAAAAAAATTAATTATATTTGTAAGGAAATATAATTTTATAAAACAGATGACCTATTTAACAATTAATTCATGGTTTTTTTTCATCATTTTCAAAATTTTAATCGGTAGAACTATAATTATATATACATATTGAAAAAAAATCAAAAACAATTATATGAAAAAGAGGTACGTAAGGAAAAAAAAGGATATATCCTCAAAAGAATATTCAAGAATTTGTTTTGATAAATAAAGTAATTAAAAAAATTTTAAAAAAAAGTTAAAAAAAACTTAATTACAAAATAAAAAACTCAAAAAAAATTAAGTAAGGATTAAAAAAAATTAACTTATTCCTCAAGTAAAGATAAGGAATAGAAGTCAAGATGAGGCTATCCTACCATAAACAAATTCAGGCTGAGCCCATTTTGTCTTCGATGAGAAAAAGTGGGCATGTCCCGGTTTCAGTCAATTCCACAATTTGCATGACAAAGATTTCCAACCGAATCCTTTCTGTTCTAGAAAAATCCATATAGAAAATAAATCAAAAGAGACGGCTAAGAAGTGACGGGTAGAGAATATATATATATATATTTATATATATTTATATTTACATGTGATAACGTCTGTTAAATTTATAATTGTCTTGATAAAAAATGTCTATTTAATAATTGACATTTATATTGCAATTATTTTACTATAAATTGCAAAAAAAAAAAAAA